GAGCTTGCAGGCCCAAGTGACCTCATCTTAACAAGGGGAAATCCAGACGAGGACGATGAAGAAATCGACAGTGACACAGATGACGTCGACCATACTCGTCAGTACTGTTTGGATATTAGTCACATCACCTTAAAATGTCTATATCACTACCATATGGGTTATAAATGTAGGCATGGATGTTAAGAAAGGACAGTTAATCTGCAATTGAAGTTTATATGATGACAAATGGAGTACAATAAATATAAAGGTTTCATCCATGCTGAAAAGAAAAGAGACACAATGTTTTGGCTGTGGAGCCTTCAGATGACATGATCTCTTTTCTTTTCATCATGGATGAAACATTTACTTGTTCCTTTGCAGCCTACAAATGCTGATGCAGCTACCTACTTGTACTTGTACTGTAAATGTGCCATGTTACAGGATTTTCTTTCCCTTTGCAATAAGAAGGAGCTACAAAAGGAAGATCTTAAGTGTCTCCTAACCCTGCTTCACAACTGGCAGAATGTCACCAGGTTAGAGTAACCTCTGCAGCTTCTTGTACACAGGCCTGCAGTGTCATCAATGTTGTCAGGTGCTGTAGAGCTTGCAGCATGTCAAAAGATGAATAGCTTTATGGGGGTGGCAGATGAGGGAACTGCTCTGGAGTAGTTGCTGTGAATAGAGATATACAGAAGTGCCTGACTATTTCTAATCAGACAGGTTTAACACATGTAAGGGCAATCTAATCTTCGGTAATAATCCAAATTGAGGAGTCACAGTGAGACTCCTTTTTAAGCCTCACAGGTGCTGATAGGGAAATGAAGCATATACAGTGCTTTTCAAAAGTATTCACACCCTGACAGTAATATCACATTTTGGTGAATTGCACATATAAAATAAGTATATATGGGTGTATATATATTATTTTTAAATAAAAATAAAAACTGCTGTTCTCAGACTGAACGATTATATTTAAAGGACACAGAATATCAGCAAAATCTGCAAAGAACCTGTTAAAATAAAATTTGCTGTCTGTAGTATATTTCTTTCGTGCCGCTTGTCCAATCAGAGCAAGATTGTGTATGGTTTTTGTTGATGTATTAAGATCCTGTGTCATTGAACCCCCATTTCAAAATAGAATTTGCAAGTTGTTTGCTGCCGCTGTTGTCTTCCCAGTGCCATCCTTTCCTGTTTGCCCATCTGTTTCAGCCTGATTTAGGCCATGTTTGGGTGGTATATGATGCATATTCTACTTCTGAATTGATGGACTGCACTGTACACAAGGGGATAAGTAACCTTCTCCTGTTCTGTGCCTCTCTGCCAATTTGCTCCTTATTTGTTTTAAGTGCTCCTTATGGTTGATTTGTCATATCACAGTATGAGCGGCATCTGGAAATTCAATATCTTTTTGAAGAAACTTCTAGAAACACATGCAATTACTCAGATGTCAAGTTAAACGACTTCATACACAGACAAAGACCATTCCACCGATTTTGTGACCTTTAAACTATTCTTTTGTACCTGAACTTCTGCAGTTGAGGGCTTTTTCAATCTTAAAATTTTATTCAACAACCTAATTTGCCTAGCATATTAGCTTTATAAGTTTGAAGTGAATTGTATAAAATCTAAAAATTTCAGTTTAAAAAGGTCACAATTACAAACTCAGATTTCAACAATACTTGAAAACTTTTTAAGGTGGTGAAGACATGAAAGGCACTGAAAATGTTGGCTTTCATTTATGCTGTGTGGAGCTGTGAAGGTGCTGTCCCTAACCAAAGGTAACCAAACCAAATAAAAAAATAATTGTACTTCTGTAGGCGGGACACCCCAAAAATCAGATTTATCAAAAATTGAGTAGAGAAATTGAAATAAAAAAGTGGTAAATTTGGAGAATAAATAATTTTTCACAAGCAAGAAAAAACTGATTTTAGGTATATCCTATTATATATAAAAAAAAAATCCCCCCAAAATTGGTAAAAAGTTCTAGGAGAAAGCCTGCCTCAATGGCAGTCCACATTCACGAAATTTAGTCTTCTCTTTTCCGAGTTATTTCCACTCCGTCTATGGGGGGCAAGCGGTGACTATAAACTTATTTACCTCCTCTCTACTCCTTTCCCCACCTGACTGTCAATTAGGGGTTTTAATCCACCATTCCCATAGAGTGGCAGATTCCACTGTGTTCTTACAAAAGGGGATAAAAACCTTTGGAGACTGAAGTAATGTCTTCTTATGGCTATGTTAATATCCCGCAGCACCTATAATCTATAGTATGAAGAGGGGTTTTTTTAGCGTTTGACATGGAAACTTGACGCTCGACCTGTCGAACATTGCAGAAATATGTAACTTTAGGGTGCTTTCCATATTCAGTGTAATATGGCTCAGGCGTAATCCTAAAAGGAAACCTCAATGTGGTGCGCATGAATAAAAAAAACACCCCAGCTTCACTAAAACGGGGGAATGCCCGACCTTACCATTTACATTAAAAACACAATGCTTTAAAGTACTTTATGAGAATTCTTGAGAACGAGTACCAGTTCTTCACAGGAACTGTAGCATTTCTCGTAGGAGATACTAGTTTTAATATTTACCATCAATACTGGGGTTAATGCAGAAAGTGAAACGTTTGTTAGGCAAAATTATCTCTTATCCCAAAGAACAGCTGATTTTATTTCTGAGGTCCCGGGGGCCGGCCCTCTCTCCTTACAACAATTAGCAGCTGCCCTGTCTGAATAGACAAATTCTAAAATTCTTCCTAAATTCTTTGTATAATATGTCCCTGGTTTGGTCAAATCGTGTTCTTTAGTGTGTAAAAATAGAAATTGTGAAGGCCGTTACTTTGGAGATTCCTAGTTTAAAATGTTACTGGATACTTGATACAGAGTCTAGCAACATTTTCAGAAAGAAATATAGCAAATATAATAATAAATGTGTAATTTAGGAAACAAATCAAATAAATCTTTCCCTATATGGTAACCAGATGTACTTGAGTCTTACACTGCAGGTCCAAGCATAAAATGTTAATACAGTAATATTTTAAATGCTAGTGATTTACTGCTGTTGAACTGGAAATGTTGATAGCATGAGATCATAATGCAGAATTGTGATGCTGACAACATGATTCATGTTGCATTTAAAATTCTTCTGTTTATCATCAGTAATCTATAATAACAGCTACTTCGTCTGCTTTAAAATCAAGGGTGTGGTGGATAAAAAGGGCTTATGGCCCGAATTTGCTAGACTGGCAGCATAGACAGGAACATACGTATTGCTCTAGCACTGCAAGGGAGTGTTTCATACTAAGAATGGTTTTCAACAAAAGTAGTGCCCATCCTTATATTGCTCATGGTTGTGTTCTTTAGCAGAAGTTCTACTTTTGAAAAGACACAGAGCTAGGGCATATTTTGCTAGTGCAAAATTGTTAACATCCAGTGCTTCCTCTAATCTTCAGAGTACAATTTAGCCACTTTTCTCCTTGGATTTGTATTTTGTTTTGTCAAAATGAACAATTCAAAACATTGTGTCCTTGAAATGAGTTTAGTACAATATCCGCCAATGCATAAATGTACCCATACCTTTAAGAGGCCTTTTGGTACTCACAGATAGGAATTGTGGTACAAAATGTGATCTGTGTGCTACTTTCTATACCCTGCTTCCTTTTTGAAAGACACCTCACTTTGTATTACTCCTTGGCCATAATAAGCCCCAGTTTATGTGTATGGTGGCTCTTTTCTGTATTCCTCATAAACAATTGTATATAATTTTGAGCACCATTAAAATGTCAACACAACATTAATACTGAAACCAGTAGATGAACTCTATGTGTGTTAAGATAAATGTAATTATGTTTAAGCATTGCTACTGGGATTTGTTGAACAATTCTACTTAGAATTTATCAAAATGAATTGTTACAGTCATTGTGATCTTTTTTCAGTTATTGTATACTTATAGGCTGAATCATCTGTGAGGAGTGTTACATTTCTTATGTGCAAACACAGAATTTCAGTTTTCTTTAGTGCATGTTCAGTCCTGCAACTCAATACTGTTATGTCAAATTTTGTAACACAGGGTGGAGACACTGGGATATTTTATTATTTGTTTACCAACCATATCTAGGGGACCTTACGTTGAAGAAAAAACTGAGAAAGAACACTTTCAGATTAAAAATAAAAAATGTATGGATGTTTTCTGTTTATAGGTCTGCTCTATTCACCTTAGGTGTTACGGTATTTTCTTTTCAACCTTTTTCCCATCTCTTATACTGTTCTTTGTTCTTCTTTTCACAGGCACTGAAGAGAGTAAAGAAACTGAGGCATTTGGGAACTTTTTAAAAGAAAGAAAAAAGGTGGTAGAAGTTCGAAACAAGAAGCACCTGTGAGAGATCAAGCTTGTCAGCACCAGTAAGCTTTGAAGTCCACCATGAACTGTGCCCTTTTTGTATTTCACTGGATCCATACTAAAAGAGGGATAATGACTTCCTGTTAAATAGGTACATCGGCAGTCAGAGATGTTCCTTGAAGTCTTCTTTGCAAAGATTAGTAATCGGGTTGTCAACAACATGTAGAATGGAAAAAAGAAATATAAGACATTTTACAGTATATGGAGAGGAAAGCATAACATGGTGTATCAGGCAAGGTCAATTTATGTTTTGAAGACATGATAACTGAGTAAACAGGATATCTGGAAATCCCAGATATGCTTAAGGTATTTATTAGTATCTTTCATTTAATATCCTCCTTTTAGACAGCATATTAAAGATGTATTCTACCAGTAAACAGGCACTGGTGAAAATGCAAAATACTGGTATTTTTTATTTTGTTTTATATTATTGTGGGGGTATATCAAGGAGTGGCAAACTGTAGTATTGCCTGCAATGGAATGAAAACCTGTTTAATAAATTTTTTGAGTGAAACGCATTCTTGTGTGGGTGTTCACTGTACTCTGTGTGTTATATGCTGTTCTGGCAGTCATAGTGAATGAAAACCTAGTGGAAAAAACAGGAAAATCTCAGCTACAGTACAAGTACTAAATCCATCTGTTGCATGAATCAGTTTGAAGAGCTAAAAAGCTCTATTCATATTGTGCCTGGGCTTTTGGAATTACCGTTTTTCCCTAACTCCTGAAATTTGAAATGCCTGTTGTTAATTCAGTGCTCCATTCCAAACAAAGATGATTACACTAGGCACGGTTCTATTGCAAGGTGCATTTCATGACAACTGTTTTTTAAACACGGCAAGTCCCCAGCCAGAAGGCTGAACTGAAGTTTCCAGACAGACAGATGGTGTGGACACGACAACACATGACAGTGAGTGGACAGACACAGCTGTTGCTTTCAGTATCCTGCAAGCATGAATGTCAGCCACAGGGTGTTCCTGTTGCATGTCAAGCTGAAACAATCATAGCTGACCTTGATCCCATAGGACTAGTTAGGCTTTGCCTTTAGGGTATCAATATCCCCATCAGCTAAATGCATAACAGTCTTCATAGGGCCCAACCTCTGCTTGAAAAAGTGGCATTAGATTTTTGTATTCTTACATTTTTATGATTTTACATGTTGCAATTCAGGAGCTACTTCATACTGATTTATTGTGCATCTTCAAGTGTGTTTCTGGGTAGAAGTTCTCAGTACTGGTAAAATTGATTTCATTAGCAATGTATCAGTTCTACCTTTTCTTACT